TGGCCAACCTCAAACTCACCTTCATGTGTAAACCTTTTCATACTTGATCCACTCATCCACGCATCAATAAAGCCTTCAGGGAGATCATATATTCTAGTAAAGTGGCTAGATGGGGCAGTTGTCGTGACAGTATTACCATCATCTTCATCAGATTTTGTCATGTCATCACCATTGATGTTCTCGTCAGCATCATCATCACTTCCCTGTCCATCCACAAATGATGCACCATTGTGAAAATACCTACCCTCTTCCTCTATAACCATGTTCAGTACAGCAGCAATTGAGGAGTTCCCTGCATTGACACCATACCCAGATACAACAACATTTGATGTTGATGGAGTAGCAGAAGCATCACATATGGATTCCTCAATGTATATCTCTAGCGTGGACATACCCTCCATCTGAATTATGCACCACATATTTGATACAGCTAACTCATCAAAAAGTGGCATAAGCATGTAATTTCCCCTGTTCATGGGAAATTTCATTTTCAAACGCAAAGAACGGTTCAGAGGAATCATTGTAGCTGCATGAATTTTCTGCAGGATCTTGAGCAAGCATGCCCCACGAGAAACAATGACAAAGCTGCTTCTACCACCTTCATGGCGTATTTGGCCACCTTCCTCAAATACGTTCCCTCCCCAATGCCACACGATTGGAAAGTTTGAGAAATTCATATTCTAATAACAATATATGTCCAACTTTTATGGGTACACATTAATATACACACTTTATACACCAAAATGAATTATTTCATAGACATCACAACGTATTAAGCAAATCCTATATCATATATATACACTTAAAAATGGGAAAATATAACATTTTAAAAAAATACATTCTAAATTTTGAGTTTTTTTAGCATTAATGTGGACAAAACACACCTCCAAATCTACATTACATAACAAAGTTCAAAAAAAAATTATACAACAATTAATTCAACATCAACATTCAACACTTCATACATATTCACTTTCCACAACAAATCAATTCACAAATGAATTCCTAATTTACAAAATCCAATTTTCTATATTCTAAACCCTGAAATGAAAAATGAGATAAAATGGAGATGTTGAAGAAGATGGAAGTGAAGTAGTATTGACAAGATAGGGAGGCCTCGCTGGAGTTTCGCCGGAGTTGGAGCCCGTTTTCGCCATTCATCGCTCGTCCTCGCTCGTCCTCGCTCGCTGCAGAGTGTTTGGGAAGGGGGGGATTGGATTGCGTTCTGTCTGTGGCTTGGCTTGACCCGATATTTTACTTAAGGGTAAGTTGCCCAACCGGATGGCGACTTATAAGTCGCCAAACGGTTTGGCGACTTACCCCGACCAGGGTTAAGCCAATAGTATATTCGTAAATACTTTTAACCCAAGTCCTTATTTTTAGCGTTTAATAACAAAAAAAAAGACACTCCATCCTTGAGGCCCCCCAACACCGACCGGACGGCATGAGCCATGATGGGAGGATGTAAATTGGACTATAATAGCAATCTGACAGATAGAGAGTGAGGCTCCGTCCCCAGTACTTGCAGAGGCCCTATGTTGAGTAATCTCTCATCGCAGTTGCTGAGATTTGAACCCGAGACCTAACCCTTGTGAATCTCTCTCTCTCTCTCTCTACCAGTTGAGCTACGCCCATCGGTTAGCGTTTAATAACCCATCAATGGGGGAATGTGGGGTGGGGATATTATATTGGCATGTAAAAGGTTTTTTAAGATTGAAGTTCTTCGGTTGGACCATCTACAAAGCCGGATTAATATATAAAAAATAAGTGATACTGCCTCAGAATTTGTCTCTAGAATAAGAAAGAGTAATCGAGAGAAAGCAGTATAATTTAACCGAGAGAATGAGAGAGAGAGAGAGAGAGAGAGAGAGAGGGAGAAGAAAGCTCGAAATGTGTATTCAATACTTGTTCAGATGGTTACAAAGTGTATTTATACAGACTAGTTTACAACTTCTCGATTAACTAATTTCTTAACAAACTGCCACGTCAGCTAACCATCTCACAATAAGCTAACAGAAATAAGCTAACACTTATTTTGTATCAATCCTTCCCCATTGACAAATGACTTGCCCTCAAGTCATGTTTAGTTTCTCAACAAATTCAGGGAATTCGTTTACAATGTAATCATAAAATTCCCATGTTGCATCAACTATAGAACATCCTTTCCATTGAATCAAATATTGCACAACTGCCTCATTTTGTCTCTTGACAATTCTCCTACCCAACACAGCTTCCGGTTATAGGCTATTTTCTTTATCTCTTCCTTGTAGCCAATGAGGAATAAAAGGACTTACTGACAACTTTCCTTTCAACTTCTTAATTTCCTTTGGAAACTTAATCTTGTAAGCCCCCTTTCCCACTGTGTCAACAACTTGAAATGGCCCAAAGTATTTAGGGGCTAATTTTTGATTTGATCTTTGCTGCACAAAAGTTTGCCAATAAGCCTGTAACTTTAGCCATACCCATTCCCCTTTCTTAAAGCTTCTCTCATATCTCTTTTTATCTGTTTGCTTCTTCATTCTCTATTGAGGGGAATCATATTTTCTCTTCTTTACATAGTTCTGTCTACCATCTCTACTGAAGTCTCCTCGGGTAGATAAGGTAAATGTATTGGAGGGGCTTGATTAGAAACAACTTCATAAGGAGTCATTTGGGTTGCAGAATGGTAGGTTGTACTATACCACCATTCAGCTAGGGGCAACCAGCTTGACCATTCTTGAGGTCTCTCACTACACATCACCTCAAGTAAGATTCGAGATATCTCTTGACTATGTCACGCCCCGGTCTGGCCGGACACGCTAACAACCGCCGCACAATCCGATTAAGGCAACCGCAATTCACCTTATTCGAACCATGCAAGGCGTACATGAATATCATTCACACAAGTACATCCATAAACAGTCATAAATAAAGCATTTCAAATATACGCAGCGGAATACAAATACTTTTAAAAAGTCAAAGGCCACACAGGGTGAACATGAGCACGCAGGCTCCCAACTCATTTATAATTTGAAATAGTTCCATGAGCATTATTTTATTTATATCAAAATAGAACTGGAAGAAGCACGAACCACGTTTTCTCCCCATAGATCACCCGAAGCAACGAGAACAATAAGCAAGCTCTAGCTTCTACCTGAAAACTGTGAGGTGGCCTCCCCCGTGAAGGGGAGGTCAGTACTTTGAAGCATTTGAATAGTACAATGGCAACTATACTGAATATAATCCATGTTTCAAACACAAGACCCTCAACATAGGGTGATACTATATTATGGGCATAACCTATAGCTACCCCGTTTCAAATCACTTGTATAGAATATATATACCAAGTCAAATAGCCAACTCGTAGGTCCATTTGTATTTCAAAACAATTCCCCTTGTATAGCCCTTGGCCTAGTCTTGCATAGGGGTGAGCATTCAGTCGATCGGTTAAATAACCGACCGATAACCGAATAACCGACTACTAAAAATTTCTCTTATGACTGACCGATAACCGACTGACAATACCTGTTTAACCGACAGAAATACTGAAATTGGTTTCGCGCCGTAACCGCATAACCGACCATGTAAAATTTGGTAGCATTTTTTAAAATATGTATGCTTTAGAGGCCTGTTTGCCAATAAACGTAGCTGGAAATACTTCAAAAACCATCCCTAAACATACAAACATACATAAAGTGTTTAATGCCAACAACATAAGTAAATAACGTATAGCCATGGCCAAAATACAAACACCACAAGTTAAATTATATGTCACAAAACATGCACCCAACATAAACAAAAACTCCAAATTCCATGTTGTTAATCTTCTAGCTTTCCACCATAGGGACTCCAATGCATCAAAATTTATCCCTTCTTGCATCTTGTTAGGCTGACAAAGTCACAAGGAACACAAAATCACATACTTGAGAAGTATAAATACATTTAATTTAATGATTGAATGCCTAACATTTTATTCTAGAGTATTGGTGATTTATTCTTTTCTATATACTCTAGAGTATTGGTGATTTATACTCTAGAAAGCATTTTGAAAACAATAATTTGGGGATTGGCTAAACAACAATTTCCTGAAAGATTTTCTGGAAAATGAAAACAGTAATTTCATAGACATAGTTAAAATCTACGCAGGATGAATATATCTTTAGTTCTTATACCATAATCTCATGAAATGAAACCAATGAATTGTTGGTCTTTTTTAAGCTCTATCAATTTGCCTATTTTATTCTTCTTTACATACTAAAAACTCAGAATTATATTATAGGTGATTAATACTCTAGAAAACATTCCAGCAAAAACGTTCCACATACAATATTAGATGACTGTACTGTGTTATGAATATTGGATGATTATACTGTGTTTTACTGGTTATGAATCTACGATTTTGTATCTTATTTGTATCGGGTATGTATGTGGTGTTTTGTATGTTGTTGAGAACAGATGTTATGTATGTGTTTGTGAGCAGGTGTGTTGTATGTTTTGTAATGTGTTGTATCTGGTTTGAATTTACTGTTTTTTGCAGTTTCAGGGTGTAATTTGCCTCCAGGCACGATCGTGTCTCCCTGTCATGCACGATCGTGTCTGGCTTCCAGTAGTTGGTTCGTTCGCCAATCTTCAAGACAAAGTCGCCAAAGGGTTGGACGACTTATAAGTCGCCAAACCGGATGACGACTTATAAGTCGCCCAACCGTTTGACGACTTGGCCTGAGCATGGTTAAACCCAGCAATAGATCAGTAAATATTTGTAACCCAGCATTATTTTCGTAATTAATTACTTCCTCCGTCCCATTTTTGTTGTCCTACTTTCCTTTTTAGATTGTCCCAAAATGAATGTCTTGTTTCTTTTTTTTGTAAGAAATATGTGGTCATTATCATTTGACTTTATTCAACTCAAATCTCAAGCACAACTTTTACTTTTCAATCACTTTATTAATAACTGTATCAAATTGAAAGTGGACGACCAATATGGAACGGAGATACTAATTAATTAGCATTAATTCGATAAAAAAAAACTCCTAAAAAAAATCATTACCATTTTATACCATTTTCACACTTCTCTCTTTATTAAACAAACGCCTTCTAAATTTTCTCTTCACTGGTGACAAGATTTCTGGTTTTAAAATGCTCTCGGGAGATCTCTGATTTGACAAGATAAATTGCCGATGGCGGCTGAGACACAAGCTTTGCTACTAAACCAGCACAAAGAAAAGCACTTCAGAGCTGGAGAAGTTGTTCGTGACATCATCATTGGTGTATCGGATGGCCTCACCGTCCCCTTCGCTCTCGCTGCCGGGTTGTCCGGTGCCAATGCCTCATCCTCCATCATACTCACGGCGGGCATCGCCGAGGTTTCCGCTGGCGCTATCTCTATGGGCCTTGGCGGGTATCATCTCATACTATACTCCATATATTTTTATTCATCATGCTTGGAAACGAAATCGAACTTCTTCTCCATGAGTTATGAACGTAATCCGCAAAAGCGAACATGTTCAGCCGGCGGGCCCAGTACAGTAGTGTACTAGTGTATGAGTGCAGGTATCATGTGTGCCAATTGTGTGATTGGTGTTCCTCGAGGCGGGAGACAACGGGACAGGATAGTATATTCCATGTAGGATTTAGGATTAGGGGTGCATCATTGTCTTTGCCCGCACTTCGCTTTCTTGGTTATCTATGCCCAACTCTTTTAACCCACTTTGACACTTTCTCGCACTACACTGCCACTTGGAGGCTAGGAAACCAAACTACCTCTTTACTCCTAGTGATAGCAGTAAGGTCTCCATAGTCCTCACTTCTGAGTGGGTTATATTGGATTTTTTTTAGTACGTGGTTATATTGTGTATTTATGTTTCGGATTTGTCTACGTTTATGTTTGCTTATTGTATATGGCACATGCTATAAGAATTTTTTGATTAGAAATTTTAAGTAGTGGATTTTATGGAAGGTATTTAGCAGCTAAGAGCGAGGCAGGTCACTATGCAAGAGAAATGAAAAGAGAACAAGAAGAGATTATAGCAGTACCTGACACAGGTTTTCTTGTTGCCTCTCTTTTATTCACGTTTTCTTATCTTTCATGTTTCTGCTTAGCCGGTAGTGTTTGTTGTAATGGAACTGAGAAATTATCTAACAAGTACTACCTTGGCACCTCCATCCAAAAAAAAAACACTATTTGACAAAATGTCCAAGTTTTTAATGTTGGTTGGGCACAACCATAAGCATTTTTTTAAAATATGGTTTAACTAGATCCATCTTGTATGATATATGACTTGGTTATCATTCTATTTGGTGATTGTTTGGCAAATTGTATGCAAAATAGTTTCGTTTGATAAAAATGGACTCTCTTTCGGGAAAACAATTATTGAAAGATTACTCTTTTTTTTGTTTAGAGGGAGTTACTGCAAAAACTAATCACATTGGAACAGTGATGGTGGGATTCACTAAAGTTTTAATGCTGAAAAATGTTTGAGCAGTAAGTTCTATGGATGTTTATGTGTTTGGATTAAAAAGTGCAGAGGCGGCTGAAGTAGCAGAGATACTGTCACAATATGGGATAGAGGTACATGAGTACACTCCTGTGGTGAATGCTCTTAGGAGGAATCCCCAGGCTTGGCTTGATTTCATGATGAAGTAAGTGCTTCCTTCTTCTCTTACCCCCTGATGGCCTTTTTAATGATTAGCAATAACTCCAAGTTTAGCTGTGCTCCTAATTGGTTAGCCATATTATCAATAGTGGGATCACTACTGAATTAATTTCAACTTATCATGAGATATAAAAACCTGTTAACAAAATTTTGGATTATTTGTGATGCTTGATAGAAATCAACTTGAACAGAAGTTGTTTGACTATGAGACGTCCTTTTGTGGTTGCTTAATTAAATAGATTTAATATATGAATTTGCATGTTTTCCACAAAAATAGATGTTTTATGAGGGAATAGTTTCCATTATGAGCTTATTATCATGTACAAACTAGTGTCAATATTTAATCACTCATCAGGTAGATATCGAATCTAAAGATTATTTAATTTGCAGATTCAAAACTATACTACCAATGGAGTTCAATGCTTTCTCACATGATCACACTTCATAATAACTCCTCAACTACATTTGTTTTCCAAATATTTACAGAGCCATATACAAGTTGGATGATGAATTGGACGGTTCAATCTGTTTCTTCCCCTTGATTTTGTCATACTTTGTTGCTATGATTAATTTGTTTAATCATGCAAACGAACCTCACTAGTTACAGTGTTGATATGTGACTGAGAGGTCACAAGTTCAAGTATTAGAAGCGACCTCTTGTTAAAATGACTAGGGAAAACTTGTACCCTTGGCTTGAGGGGATGCCGATGTGCACCATGTTGCCCCCCCTCACCATTGTACCCAACTCTGATGGAAACCAATCTTTTTATGCAACCAACCTCAACATTGTACCCAACTCTGATGAAAACTAGTGCTTGGTAGAATGCAATAAAACCAAGGTATCCAATCAGTTGACATCACCTAATACAAGAGTTTAATGTGTGAAACCCCCTTGTGATATCCAATTTGTTTGCCATGTTTGCAGGGCCATCTAATAGATTTAGGGACAAAGGGAGTATAAATTTTATAATGTTAAAAGTATACAAAATAGACAATTTTACTACATAGTCGATGAGCTTTCACTTGAATAGGGTTGTCCTAGCATTCTTCAAAGCAAAATCATTAATCAAATCTTTACAAAAAATGCTCTATTTCCTCATTTGTAGAAACTCACAAATTGTACACGTTGTGGAGTAATACATGATAACTAGGAAAATTAAACCTATAACAAGTAACAACTATTACATATTATTTTTTTGGGGCCCCTACATAAAAGTGGGCCCTTACGCTAAGCACCTATTGCACCTCTTAAAAGACAACCATGTTTGTGTGCATTAGCCCCTCGTTATTTAAAGAATACATCAAAACCTTTTATGTAATGATTGGTCATGCACGTAGTACCTTAGTAGAAATGTAGAATACGAGTCCGTTTTATTAGCCAACTTTTTTTACCAGACACAACTTTTGATTTCAGGCGCTGAGTTGTATAATAATAAAAATAAATAGGAGTAGAGTTACTTTTATGGCTTAATTGGCTGAAGTTACTATAGAGGACCATTTTAATTAATTTTCATATAATTTGTTCTTTATTTTACTAAAAATACTCCCTCCGTCCCGCTATGATTGTCCCATTTTACCAATTCTGAGTTAATCCCCGACTACTTGGCCATTTGTGCAATTCTGTGACTCAAATTACACACACCTAGTACTTGGTCCGCTAACATTGAATTCTTTTTTGTTAAATCTGAAAGTTTTTAACTAAAGTGGAATACTATGAGATATAAAAATAAATTGTTTTTTTTTTTAAATAGTAAATCCGGATATACAATCACAAAATCAAGGCTGCTGGAAGTACCATTATTATTTTCCATATTATTTAAATGACATCATTCTCTTGGGGAGTTCTTCTTCTTCGTCTTCTTTCTATTCTTGCTTCTTGCTCTTCTTCATTTATGCTCTTATTTTTCTGAGTTCTTAAACCTTAATCGTTATGGATTATTATTTGTTACTTCATATATATAATGCTTATAAGGCTCATATATTACTTGAATTTTGTGGCATAGGTATTTATAATATTAATAGAGAGCCGCATAATCACCGAGTAAGCCCAAGTAATCGTAATCAATCGCTACTTGGTCCTTAATAGAGTTGCCTCGAAGTAGAGATTTCTCTAGGTAGATGATAAGATATGGTCCCATCTTTGGTTGTCTTGTATTTTTGCATCTTTATTAGTTTACTCATTTTCGCTGCAGGTTTGAGCTTGGCTTAGAGAAGCCAGACCCAAAAAGAGCATTGCAGAGTGCGTTTACAATTGCCATTGCCTACATCATTGGTGGCATAGTCCCTCTTTCTCCTTACATTTTCATCCCAATGGCAAGAAAGGCTGTCATAGCATCCGTTATCATAACGGTAATCGCGCTCTTTTTGTTTGGTTATGCAAAGGGGTACTTCATAGGCAACCAACCATTCAGGAGTGCTCTTCAGACTGCTTTTATAGGAGCTCTAGCTTCGGCAGCAGCATTTGGCATGGCTAAGGTTGTCCATGGATAGAGCTTGTTATTCTCTTAAAATCTCTACGATAAAATAGTAGCAATTTTATTCTTCACTATAAAGAGATTAGTTTCTTTTAATCTCTATTGATAACATAAAAAAGTGTTAATTTTGCTGTTTGTGCTAGAAACAACATCCCGCATTAGTCTCAAAAGATATTGAGGTCGGCTAACATGAATCCATAACATCATAGTGAAAAAAAGAAAGATGAGACAGATAAAGAGATAAGGTAAAATAAAAAGGATAAAATAAAGATAAAGATAAATATATAACATAAAGATAAAAGGTGAAATCCATATCAATAATCCCTACATAGGATATTAATAAAAATAATCTGAGCCGGTAAATCACTTCACATAAATAGATGAAACTAAACGAAGTCAAACTTTCCGTTGATACAAATCTCAAACCCACCGCCACAACACCACCTCTCTATGTTCTCGTCCCTCGCTTAGCTAGAGCACTTTGTTCTCTTTTTTTCATTAAATCTCTAATCCTAACTGATCAATCAATTTTGAGAAAAAGTCAAAAGACCACATGTCCAAGTATTGAATTGTTTCCAGAAAACTCTTTAAAGATCACATGTTTAAGTACTCAATGATTTCTAGAAAACTCTTTCTTGAGAGCTAATTTTAGTGTCAAAACCTGGACAGCTAGACCCTCTATTCGATGATCAAACAAGATGATCGAGTGGTAAGTAAGATTAAACGTGATGACAATAGTAACACTAATAAATACTACCTCCGTCCCATTTATATTGAGAAGGAAGAAGGTGACACGGTTATTAAGAAAAGTGAATTTGTGTGGTTGATATTAATTGATAATGTAAGAATAAAGTAAGAATGATTTAGGGCCACACAAACTTTGCCAAATATGGTATGGGACAATTTAAGTGAGACTTCCCGAAAAGGTAAAACGGGACAATATAAATGAGATGGAGAGAGTAATAAATTAATAATATAAGGTTTTCTGTTCATAATACAATGTTATTTGGTGTTCGGTGAGGACGTGAGGTTGTAAGAGACCATGAGAGGTAGGAGAATAAGATAAGGGGGAGATGAGGCTGCAGCCTAAGAAGAGAGAAACCGGTGAGCTGCGGAAGAATTAAGTTGGGATTCGTGGTAAATGGGCAGCAGGGCAATAATGCAATATAAAACGGAAGTGTTACCTCCGTCTCATTTAGAGACCGTTTGGCAAAACTGTTTTTCGGCTTATTAGGCTTATCAACCAACTTTTTCACCAAACACGTAATGTTTGTTTTCGCGCGCTAAATTGTGTAATAAGCAGAAAAAGTAAGGTTGTAGTTACTTTTCTGGCTGTATTGGCTGAAGTTATTGTAGATGATTATTTTAGCTATTTTTACATATATATTTTTTCTTTATTTTATTAATATAATATATTTTAAAAATATTTTTTTTCTTAAATCAGCAGAATCAACCAATGCATCCCTTCAGCCAGAACTTCATAAATCTCAGCAGAATCAGCTAAATCAACCGATTTTCGTGCTACCAAACGGGTTCTTAATGTATTTACGTGAATGACTTAATCAGTTTGGATTATTTTTATCAATATTTGTAGTACAGATTTATATTGTAGAATCAGATAAAGTATGGATTATTAGTATGAATTTCTCCAAGATAAAAATGATAGCTTAAAGAGAATAAAAAATATATACAAATAGAAATGATAAAAGGATTAAAGGAATAAGAACGTAAGAACGACAAAAAAGATAAAAATATAAAGAAAAAAAGGAGGTAAAAGAGATCAATCCTTTATCAGAATACTCGCCCTCCACCGTGTTCTCTCCAATGTCATATTCTCATCCAATCTAGGGAAAACTGTCAAATAAATTTTTGTACTATATAAAAACGTCAATTAGGTCCTCCACCGTATTCTCTCCAATGTCATATTCTCATCCAATCTAGGAAAAACTGTCAAATAAATTTTTGTACTATATAAAACACGTCAATTAGGTCCTTATAGTTTAAAATCTATCAATTGATTCCTCAACCTTTTAAAAAACACTCAAGTGAGCAATTTAGAAGATAACCATTAGGTTAACCGGTAAATTGCATTTGGTGCTGCCATGTGGTGATCCACATGTATAATTCGACTCAATTTTAAAAGGATGTGGTATTTAGGTTTTCCAAAATTTGGAAACATAGTCTTTATGTCATTCAGTCATTCTCATGTATTTTGAATCCCAACTTTTTTGTTATTATCGTATATTATATAACATTATATTGAATTAATACATATTTTAATGATTTTGTCAATAAGAATTAAAAAATACATATGAAAGATATATTTCACATTCACACAAAATAATAAAGTAAATATTTCATAAATATTAGGTGAAATCAAAGTCTGATGGTCCGTTGACTATTCTTTTTCTCTTAAATATTAGTGTTTGCTTCCCAGTACAGTACAATTTCAATGGCTTCTTCCGTGGATTTTTCTTTGTATCAATTTGAGGATGCCAAGCCGGGAGTGGAGGTTTGATTGGCGATGGTGAGGGCTTTCTTACTCTCTCGTAGCAAATCAGAGGAGGACGCTTCTTCTTCCTATTAAATCGCAGGAGGACACCGGCGGTGAAGAGAAGACATAGGTGATGGCGGTCATGAAGGCGGCACGATGAGGTCACAATGTTATCTATTCCAGTTTTATCATGTGGTACTACCTTGCGGGATGGGCCATGTTTCTTTTATTAGAATTTGACCGTTTTGTGTCGACTAGAAGAAGATCTCCTAATAAATGCACTATCGAATATGTGGAGTTTGAGTTCAAGTTCACCCTTTGCCATGAGTAGATCACATGATCTCTTATCCAGGTGGACGATCACACATACGGGTGGGGTGCAGGAAGTACATCTGTATTCAAGTAGCTCTGGATATTCAGGTGGACTCGGGCCGGTTCGGGCCTGGGCCCGGCCGGGTCTCGGTTCAGGAAAGGGGAGGCCCGGAACCGGTCTGGGTAACCCCCGGGTCCGGGTCGGGCCGGGCCGGGCCTCGGTTCAATTTTTTTTTTTTTGCCTTTTCCTAATTAACCCCTACCCCCCTCACCCCCAAACCATCTCAAATGACCCAAAATACCCAGCCCAACCCAAAAACTTAAAAAAAAATTCAAAAAAAAAAAAACAGAAAGAAAAAATATATAAAATGGCCCGGACCGGGCCCGAACCGGCCGGGCCGGTTCACGTTTTGAGGGGCCCGAGCCGGACCGGAACTCCAGCGGGTTGGGCCTACCCGAACCGGTCACTGACCGGGCCACTGGGCCGGGCTAGTTCCGGGTCGGGCCACCCGGCCCGAGTCCAGGCCTAGCTCTGGATATTGGAAGGGGAGAGTCAAGCAAGGAAGGAAGGAAAGGGAAGGGGAAGGAAGGATTTAAAAAAAAATTGTGTTTGGTTGGAGGAAATAGGAGGAAACGTTTAATGAAAATATTTTCTTAATTTATCTTTATTTGATAGCATATTTAAAAAATTAGATTCATCTTTAACTATTGTGAATATTTACTCCTAAGATCATGAGTCATAATTTTTTTTTTTTACTTTTTTAATTTTATAATTGTTTATTTTTATTTTTTTGATTTTTTGATTTTGATTCATAAATGTTTAAAAGTTTTAATATTTTAATTTTTATTAATATTATTTTTTTTTAATTTTTTAATTTTTTTAATTTCTTATTTTTTTAATTTTTTAATTTTTTAATTTTTTAAATTTAATTTTTTATACCTTTTTTATATTACTCCCTCCGTTCTTTTTTATTAGTCCTTCTTTCCTTTTTGGGACGTTTTTTTATTTGTCCTCCTTTCCCTTTAAGGAAAGTTTTTGAGAAAATACCCTCACTTTTATTACTTTTACCCCACTTACTTTTTACAAAATACTTTCTCTTTCCTACTTTACCATCACTTTACTCTTCTTAATATACTCTCTTTCCTACTTTATCATTATTCTTGACTTTCCAATGAGTTGTTGGATTCCGCCGCCATAACTCCGTTCTTTTTTATTAGTCCTTCTTTCATTTTTGGGACGTTTTTTTTATTTGTCCTCCTTTCCCTTTAAGGAAAGTTTTTGAGAAAATACCCCCACTTTTATTACTTTTACCCCACTTACTTTTTACAAACTACTTTCTCTTTCCTACTTTACCATCACTTTACTCTTCTTAATATACTCTCTTTCCTACTTTATCATCACTTTACTCTTTTTAATATACCATCTTTCCTACTTTATCATTTACCCTACACACTCTATATTTACCCTACTACTTTATTATTAAAACCCGTGTCAAACCCTAAGAGGACTAATAAAAAAGAACGGAGGGAGTATAACGAATTGTTCATTCACGTAGGAGACATATAGTTTGTGGTTCAACATGTTTCCTCCAAAATACCCCGATTTTGGGGGGTTTAGAATGAGAGGAAGTGGGAGATTTTGGAAGTCTTCCACTTTCCTCCCCTTCCCTCCTATTTCCTTCAACCAAACACACACAAATCACTCACTTCCCTCCCTCCCCTCCGAAATCCTTCAACCAAACAGGGCCTTAAAGAGGATGATGAAGAGATGAAAAAGGAGGAAGTTTGTTCAAGGTTGATTTTCAATATGAGAAGTCGACAGACTTACATATATAGTTTTTGGTTCAAGTGAGAAATGTATCTAATGTGAGAAAAGATAATGAATTTCAGCTATTAGATTTCCAATTTTGCACTAAAAATAGCTTAATGGTGCAGTAAAATTTAATTTTTGCAATGTTGCATTAAAACTGTTTCATATTGTACTAAAATTTGACGATGTTGCATCAAAACAGGTTCATGTTGCACTAGACAAATGTAATACGATTTTTCACAAGTATTTACTAAATGCCACCGTGCTAGGTTGCATATTTCAGTGCAAAATGTATTTATTTTTACTGCAACGCAGTCGAACCCAATGATTGAGATTCATGTGTATTCCTCACCTAAAGACTTCTTCCTATTTGAACTTCACCCTAGATGTGTAGCCATTAGATCTTAGATAAAAAGTCTTCTTCCCATGAAAAGTAAGAATAAATCCGGTGCATCGAATCTAAGATCAAGTGACTCTAAATATGTTAGAAATGCATTAAAATAGATTAAAATGCGGTGACATTTTTGTAAATAAATAAAGGGAAAACTGTCAAATAGGTCTTCGAACTTTCATAAAAAAGTCAATTAAGTCCTTCTGTAGGAGACTGTCCAGTCGTCGCGATTTGGGGCGGTTCTCGGTGGAATTTTTTGATGAATTTTTTTGAGCATCTTATTCACCAAGTCTAGTTTACTCATACAAAATTTCAGCTAAAAATTTAATCGGGAGCGCATTCAAATTAATTCGAGAACGCAAAAATGCGCAGTTATCTTCAAGAATTAATTTGAATGTGTTCCCGATTGAATTTTTAGCTGAAATTTGGTATGAGTAAACTAGACTTGGTGAATAAGATGCTAAAAAATTTCATCAAAAAAACCCACCGGGAACTGCCCCAAATCGCGATGGCCGGGCAGAACCTCCTATAGAAGGACTTAATTGACCTTTTTATGAAAGTTTGAGGACCTATTTGACAGTTTTCCCATAAATAAAAAAAAAATCTTCTTTACAAAAGTGAACTTATGGGTAAAAGTGTACCGTGGATGAGCAAAAGTGGATGACGAAAATCATCTAGGTGCAATAGTGCACTAAAACTAGTCCCCCCATGCAAACTACAAACTAATCTCGGGCGTCTGTTTGTGCAAAATAAAATGCATCCGCATGAGATGTATGGTAGGAGACTGTGGAAGACATGCATGGAATAACAATAAAACTATCAACTATCAATGGAACGGTTAGTAAGAAGGATAATATAGTCATTTGAGAAATTGAAGTGGTCGGCAAGTATATTATTTATAGAAATAATTTAATGACTAAATCCTATGATTAAAAAGATTGAGTCACATACGGAAGGCAATCCAAAAAATCGCTAACCTACCACCAAAATTTAAATCACCCATGTTTAGCAAATTAAAAAAAAAAGATGCAAGGATCATGGTTCGAATTTTTAGCCACCAACGAAGGTTGCAATAACAAATCCCATTATTCTTAATTTTGGGAATTATTCATGATGGATTGCCGACCCCGAGAGTAGCCAGAATCTGAGAGTAAGGGAGAAAACCAGTGAGAATACCAAGTAAAATAGGGTATCAACTTCAGCAGAGTAACAAGAGAATTATATTTCGGATCTCCTTCCACATGTAGGAAGGTGATATTTATACTAAAAAACAATACTTGGTGCCAAAGTAAAAAGATGTTATTCTATTGTGGTAAGGACACGTGTCACACATGCCTTACAGAATAATTAGACTAATCTAATAGTGTGTTAACACGTGTAAAGGTGATTGAAGAGATGATTTGAGATAACTGACTGATTGGAATTATATGTAACAGATTCGTACCGGAACATGCGTGTGTGTTACACATGTATTATCTGAAATATTCTTCACCTTATCCGCTTGGAGTGATCTGGCGCTTCACACAGTATTGGTGACGTGGCGGTAGCTTGTGCGGTATTTCGATTGCCAAAATGTTTTAGTCCATGCTTAAACATTCAATTTTTGTGTAAATCTGGCGCCAAAATGTTCAAGTCCATGATTAAACACGAACCAACGACCAATATCCAACTAAACCATTCAATTAGGTAGTTACCTTAATGAAAAACTAGAACAATGGACTGTCTTGCTGTTTATGTTGACCAATTATTGTGTTCTTTTTTATTTGTCCATTTGTGAAATACTGAAATCTATGCACACTAAACAGGGGCGGACCTGATGTTGTTCAAAGGTGTTCACCTGAACACCCAAAAATTTCAAATTTTTATATCAAAAACCACCCTCCGTCGTTTCTACGCAAACCTCACCTGCGTTGCAGAAGCTACTGAACACCCACAGCCGACTAACAACTCGCAGAGTCGCAACTCACTCCTCCTTCAAATCACCAGTTTGTCACAGTGTCGCTAGTCACTATAAGCTCGGTAGGCAGGGAACAGTTGACTCGGCGTTTCAGCTTCTGGCTCTTGAGTCTTGATGAGTATAGTAGCTAATGACCTCGCTGGCTTGCTCCTCACACCCGCCTCTAGAATCTGGATCCCTTCCTCTGCTCTACCAGTCCACCACCTCCAATAGTAGCCTCGTGTCCTCCTTGTCTACTAAGGCACTAATTAAAACCTAATTTTCTATACCTAATCTGAAATTCGCACCATCGATTTTCTTCTACTGCTAGCCTTTTGCTAAATGGTTAATTGAAATTTCAGATTGAGAAAACATTGGGATTTGGGTCCTAGAAAATAGAAATATTGGTTAGGTTGTTAGTGCTTTAGCCCTTATTGGTTTGATGGTGAGTTTTTTGGTTTAACTGGTTGATGTGGATTCTCCTTAATTTGTTGGTGGCAGACCTGATAGTATATTTATTTTCTTTTTTGGTGTGGCAGTGTCAACCACACAGGCTGTGTGGTTCTGTGTTTAGTTTTTTGCGAAAATGATGATTCAATTGTAACATTATTGCATTACACAAGATTGTTGTGATAGGTCAATTTTTATTTCAGTTTTGAACACCTAAAATAAAAGAGCTAGATCCGCCACTGATGTCACTAAACGTTGTTTCACCAATATACCTTTCTCACTGTATTCAATCTATCCTTTGCCAGCAGGATCATAAATGGGAGGTTGGCTTTTAATAAGGGAAATTTAGGTAAAGTATTAAAAGTTTTGATTAACTGATAGCATTAATAAATTTTATTGAATTGTGGGATTTCGTAAACATTTCCATCATTTGCAATGGAGCCAAAGATTCACTATTTTTTGACTTGAGAATGTGATGGAATAAAGCAATATGGCTCACTAAAATGTGTGTGCTTCTTTGTTATGAAGCAGCAGTGAGTTCATGCAATTCTCGACGCGATTTTCACTGTGGGTCATCCGGGTAACAGTCTCTCTGTGCTTTAGTACAGGGGTAAGGTTGCGTACATCCGACCCGCTTACCCCACCGTAGGTGGAAGCCTTTGCGGCAGTGGGGTAATGATGATGATGATGTGATCTGGTCAGCCTAGAATAATAAACATGAACAGGGACAGTAACTTATTACTCCATATTTTTTTATGTATAGTATTACTTCATATGGGAGTACAAGTGTAGCATTTAATCTTACCTTTCAATTGAAATGCAGGTTCATCATTTTAACCAATGATGCTTTCAGTGCATAACAACTAGATTTGCTCCAAATCTTTCAGGAAGCTGCAATAGATTCACAACTTGAAATGACGGGGGAGACGGCCAGATTCACTTAGCAGTCTCAAAATCTCTCTGGCAAACTGTTGATTGCCAGTGAGCAAAAGTCCGTTCAGAACACGATTGAACGTGAACCTTCTTGGCATAAATCCTCTACCAACCATTTCCACTATCAACCTGCCAGCAACGAGTAAATCATCTGATTTCTTTCTCCCAAACATAGAGCTGATCAAGACATTGTACGTATCCAGATTGGGTAAGCAGTAATCGACACAATTCATTCTGTCAAATACCACAAGAGCCTTCTCAATTTCTCCTTGGTCGCAATAATAGCGGACGATGACATTGTAGGTCTGAATATTCGGTTCGCACTTATGGTCATCCCTCATTTTATCCATATACTGAACAGCCTCATTCATTCTCCCCCTATGACACAACCCCCTAATTACTGAATTATAAGTCATTGTGTTTGGGACATAACCTTTCCTCAACATCTCCTCAAATACTGAAATAGCATTTTCCACAGAATCCTTCTTGCACAGCACTTGAATGAATGCATTGTAAGTTGAAATAGAAGGAAGTATACCATCAGTTCCAACCATCTCATTAAACATCTTGCGAGCTTTATCAATCTCTCCAACAACTCCTAACCCATGAACCAAAGTGGTATAAGTCACAACATCAATCTCACACTTCCTCTTCTTCATTTGCAAGAAAAATTCCCAAGCTTCTTTAATCTGACCAGCCCGAAAAAATCCTTTGAGCAGTATGTTATATGTGGTTACGGTGGGAGTCAAGCCTCTCCATACCATTTCCTTGAGAATGTCTTGAGCTTTAGGGGTTTGTTTGATTAAACAAAATCCATTTGCAAGTGTGTTATATGTGACAATATCAGCTCTAAATCTACTACCTCGAAGCATCTTCAAAAGCCTATAGGCCATCTCAGCCCGCCCGGATTTGCAAAGAACATCGAGAAAAGTATTGAAAGAATTTGAATCGTGGGGGCAACCATGATTATGCATAGACAAGAAAACCTTCAACGCTTTATCAGGATTGCCGGCAGAAACGTACCTCTCGGTGATGATAGCAAAGGTCTTTGGTCGAGGACCGAGTCTGCGGGATCGCATCCGGCTACGAGCTTCCAAAGGGTGCGGTAATCGCGCATCCGGGCGGCGATGTCAATGGCGTGGTCAAATGCGGCGGCGGGGTGAGCGTAAGAGGGGTGGCGATCGAGGTGGTCGAAGAATTGGAGAGCCTTGGGTCCGTGGTTCCAGAGGCGCTTGAGGATGGATAGGACGAGGTCTGGGGTCCATTGCGTTGAAGACAGGACCTTTGGGTCTTCTTGGAGGATGCGGTGGGAGAGAGTGAGGGCGTCCAATGCTTGGGTGGAAGGCGGTAGCTGGAGTGGGAGACAGGCGGTGGTGTGGAGGCGGCGGGGCAATGAAAAGCGCTGCGTGTGGACAGGTTTGGGGATTGTGCTTTGAACTCCGATCAACATCCAATTCATTCATTCACAACTTCTCAACTTCCTAGTGATTCGTTTTCATAGAAAGAACAGAAACACACCATGTGTAGTAACGAGTAACTAGTGAGTGTGGATCACTCTAAAAAAACAGTAAGCGTGGAGGAAAACCCTCATTGATCTGCGTCAAAAGGTCTCTTCTTCTTTTTTTTTTTTTGAAATGAAAGTAACGAAAATATGGGGGTGTTTGGATCTGATTCTCAAAATTGATTCTGCTCCTTCAGGGAGTAGAAGCAGAAGCTGGAGTGTTTGGGTGAAATTCCAGAAGCACTTCTGGAGCTCTAATTTACTCTCAGAATCAGTTTTTTTAGAAGCTGGGGGGTACCAGCTTCTGAAAACTGATTCTGATTCTGTTTCTGCTTTTAAAAAAAGAAGCAGAAGCAGAATCAGTTCCAAACACCCCCATGTTGGAAAAGGATCCAAATATGTTGAAAGGATCTAAATATGTTGAAGTATGAAGGAAATATATTTGCTCTCACACTAGGGCTGCACATCGGGCGGGTTGGGTTGGATTTGCTATATTTCTTGGGCCTACCCGATTTGTTCGGGTTGGCTATTAACCAACTCGCGGTACGCAAAATAAGTTGGTAAATCATGCATGAACGGGTCGGGTAGGGTCGGTTATTGAAAAAAAAAAACACTTTGAGTTGCATCTTTCATGTGGGGAAATTAAATGTAACTAATTTAAAACTCGATTAACTTGTTTCCAAAACACACAAACAAATACAAGTGCTTTTATCTTTTATAAGCAAAAACATTAGGTAATAGTATTAAACATCCTTCCGTAAAGGAAGTGCATTCAGAAGTAAAACATAAATATATAATAATCATCTAGTCAAAATTGTAAATGTTTAATTATAATTCTAATATCATAAAGTTTTAGATAGAGCACATTGGTCTTAAATTGAAATTATCCAAGAAAACAATGTAGCATAATAATAGTAAAATGAACTTCGGGCGGGTCGGGTACTATTGGGTTTCGGATTTTAATTCCGCAACCCTACCCATTAGGTGCGAGTTCAAACATATTTAACCCATGAATATTTTTTAAAATCAAATACCCGATTATATAGGGTCGGATAGGGTTGGGTTTGGGCGGGTTATGCACTTATGCGGGGTTCGGGTTATTCTTGTGCAGCTCTATCTCACACAGTCACACTCATACTACAACGATATTTTTGTACCTACCATTTCCCAAATATGTTTGGAAATATTATGCATTGATCATCATCATCATCATCATCATCATCATCATCATCATCATCTTCTTCTTCTCCTTCTTCTT